AGATATTAAAAGGAATATTAGAACTTGAAACGTGTAAATTACATAACGGCAATATAATCCCTGATTGCTATTGCGGCGTTCTGGAGTAATCTACATATTGACGAGCTAGAATGATTTATAATTACTGGGTTTCGTATTTTCATGCTAAGTGAAACATTCATGATTTCAGTTTAAAAAATATGATTCAAACTAAAATTTTTAGTATTATTTAATCATTATAATATGCTTCTTTATTTTCTGCATTTAATCATTTTATAAATATATAACATCCTCAGTATGATAGTACGATGTCCGTATAATATAAAGAAAATCTTTATGTAATATAAAAGAAAACAGCTTTTGATCATCAATTATTTTATTAATTAGCGTTTCATTAAATTAGAAATAGGAGGGAAATGATGAGAAATGGGAAATGGTTTGCTCGTTTTATTTTCAGAATAGAAATTACCGTGATTAGGCTGCTGCCGAGACAGACGAACCACCCCCAACCGCCGTCAGGAGCTTTCCTGTTGGCGACTTCGGTATTCATCGTATTCACCGCTTGTCCACAGACGAACCTTAATTTCACTCACGAAACACTTCTCACGATAAGTAAACAACGACGATTAACAGTATCGTGGAGGCACAGTTCGATCACTGCCTCTTCATTCACTGCTTAACGAACCGATACGCGGTCCGATAGACCTGCTCGAGTCTGTTTCCCTCACTTCTTCCCTCGTTAAAGCTAACACCTCGACCAACCGATTCGTTCACCGTTTATCCCTGTTTGTTCTGACCGATCCATGGAAAAATACGTGTCTCTTCTGGGATTTATAACGCCTAAGGAATTTTATACACCTTTGTCTCTTATTTGATTTGTAGTTTCGTCTCCGGATTTGGTAAAAGTTATTTCAAGATAAGGTGCAAATTCCATTCTTTATTCACGTGTATTATTTTACACGAACAAATTATTTGCTCCTGAAATTATTTGAAACCAGTGTTATTTCAAAAAGTATAATGAATTCGTTACATCATGTATTATATTAATTCTTTTTCTACAATATCTAAAATTATTATAATTTTTATAATTGTAGATAATTCGTTTTACATTTTCAGGACAATGGAGCTTCGAAGGACGCTGGACATTTTTGCTTGTGTTTGTACAGTGTTTATAGCTGTGCCACGAATAGTTACTGATAAATAGTAGATAATTGTCAGCTAATTCACGTTCAGCATGTTAACGTATTCTTCACGGTTAACATAGTACAATACGTAATCGCAGCCATTTCAGTTAATAAATGTTCTCAACACATACCAATAATGGTTTTCGTGGAATTCGCCTTGACGGGAAAATATAGCACCTTTAATTATGTCATGTGTCATGATTATAAGAACCACAGATACTAGACTTAGTATAGAATTAAGTTCACGTAAAATCATTTTCAGAGAAACTTCGTTTAAAAACTGTTTAAGTAGAAATATTGTATAAAAAAGAATGAAATTTCTGACTACTTTTATATTTATGACACATAGTGTACACACCTGTTCTTTTCTTACTCAACGAGCACTGATTGAACAGTTTTTCTACGAACACGTGACACTGCACTTGATCAAATCCTGAACTTGTTTCACTATTACAAATATTCGTCGTGGAAGGTTACAGAATTGTTTTTCGTGTATGATAATATAACTAATTACGATTGCAAGGCTATTATAATTTATATAGTAATAAACATTCCGTTTTTACTATCTACAAAAATAAATGTATTTTATTGCACGTAAGAGCATGATAATAGAACGCACTCGCTTTCTACTGTTTTTGCGCTATCAATATTTTATGCTTCGTACATTTTTGTAACAGTCATGTAATGCAAAAGAATAAATATTAATAAATGAAACAAGGATGATGAATTCTTTTAAGGTGAAAGATAAGCGTCAAGTATTTTGATAGGGGAAACAATATTCCTCCAATAACACATAACCGCAGGTAATCGATCGCGAAAGATAAAACGGACAGGTCGGGGGATAATTTCAAACGTGGCGCGGCTGTTCAATTAATTCAAGTACAATGTTCACAGCTTCATGAAGAAGTCGATTCAAACGTCTCTCATTTGATATATAAAAAAATGTAACCGCTGATTTAAAAAATAAAGAATACATGATAAGAAAGAATTATTTCTTTTTTTCATTCATTTCATTTCTGTTTGATGGAAATAAAATTCACTCGGACACTCATTTTGCAATTTCGCTGATGTTCCAAAATATTCACCAAACTTTTACGTTTTATTTTAAGCTCACAATTTTAATTGGAATAAAAGCAGAATAAACACGTACGTGTACAAATGAGAGAATATAACGTGATCAGCTCAGCCTCGTCACTCACTGTCAAAAAGTTTCAATCAAACTTTCAGTTATTGTACTAATCAACTTCAATGTTACTTTCACTTATATTGACAGTGCCGGCGCTGTACGAGCGAACTCGCAAGGTAAATCTGATTTTCGCCGTGAAAACTGCACACGCATTGTTCACGATGTGCTGTTCTATATTTTCACTAACATCACGCTGGCTATCCGCGCGGCGGCTCGCTAAAATGTTAACAGTACACGACGCGACGCGAGATTTATAATTTCTCGTCCCACCGGAGCATCTTACCCTCACTATTGAACCTGATCCTTTCATTCAGCTCCTTGCATTGACTGTTTCCAGAAAACTAAAAAAGTACAAATTATATAGAAATATAATTTTTGATAATAGAACGCACTCGCTTTCTACTGTTTTTGCGCTATCAATATTTTATGCTTCGTACATTTTTGTAACAGTCATGTAATGCAAAAGAATAAATATTAATAAATGAAACAAGGATGATGAATTCTTTTAAGGTGAAAGATAAGCGTCAAGTATTTTGATAGGGGAAACAATATTCCTCCAATAACACATAACCGCAGGTAATCGATCGCGAAAGATAAAACGGACAGGTCGGGGGATAATTTCAAACGTGGCGCGGCTGTTCAATTAATTCAAGTACAATGTTCACAGCTTCATGAAGAAGTCGATTCAAACGTCTCTCATTTGATATATAAAAAAATGTAACCGCTGATTTAAAAAATAAAGAATACATGATAAGAAAGAATTATTTCTTTTTTTCATTCATTTCATTTCTGTTTGATGGAAATAAAATTCACTCGGACACTCATTTTGCAATTTCGCTGATGTTCCAAAATATTCACCAAACTTTTACGTTTTATTTTAAGCTCACAATTTTAATTGGAATAAAAGCAGAATAAACACGTACGTGTACAAATGAGAGAATATAACGTGATCAGCTCAGCCTCGTCACTCACTGTCAAAAAGTTTCAATCAAACTTTCAGTTATTGTACTAATCAACTTCAATGTTACTTTCACTTATATTGACAGTGCCGGCGCTGTACGAGCGAACTCGCAAGGTAAATCTGATTTTCGCCGTGAAAACTGCACACGCATTGTTCACGATGTGCTGTTCTATATTTTCACTAACATCACGCTGGCTATCCGCGCGGCGGCTCGCTAAAATGTTAACAGTACACGACGCGACGCGAGATTTATAATTTCTCGTCCCACCGGAGCATCTTACCCTCACTATTGAACCTGATCCTTTCATTCAGCTCCTTGCATTGACTGTTTCCAGAAAACTAAAAAAGTACAAATTATATAGAAATATAATTTTCTGTCACTTAAAATTGAATAAAATCTCGTAGACAGACTGAAAATGAGTTTCAATTTAACAAATGAGATTTATTAAGATTTTCTTCGAAGAATGAGTTCGATTAATAAGTTTCGTGAAGCAAAAAATTCATCCAAGGAAACTTTGAATAAAATGAGCAATTATAATTGGTTTCTTCGAACGACTGTTGAGATCATGCAAACGAAAAAGACGTTTTCACGTATCGTACATCACATCGCTCCTCCATGTAAAATTGAATTGTACTTTTCTTTGTTTTCTATGACTAACATGAACCCCTTGTAAATTCGTCATTTGGTAACTCGTAATCTGTTCAGCGATAGACTGTGCAAATGCTCCCTATGATAAAAACGGCGTACGCTAAGGTATTATCGAAACCGTGACGGAGGATCTCTCGGGTAAGAAAAGAAAGCTCTAGTCTGAGAAAAACAGCAAGAGATTACTGATATCTCGTTACTTACTCTAGCTCGACCCAGAGACCGTTTCCGAGTTCCCAGACAGCGAGTTTCATTCCGCGAGAGTGAACGCCAGCAGTCGAACCGAATCCGCGGGATTCGAGCGCGGCTTTTCGATTTTCCCTCCCTCGATCGGTTTGTTCGCTACCGGGTTTTCTATTATGCTCAGTGCTGGAACCACGCGCGAAACAATTTTCACCGAGTGCGGAACGCTGCCTCATCCCGGCGAAGTCATACACTTTCTACCCGACGTTACCGCCGAAACCGTGAATTTATGATGAGCAATATGAATCGTGTCGAGATCGATGGTAATCATCTGGATGCTGCGACGCATGAGATTTTTCTTATTTAACCCCGTAAGTCCTGGATTGTACAAGGATCATATATAAATAGCGTTTAATCTACTTTCAATTATAAAACTACTGACGTTTATTGTGTTACCGAATTTAAATTTACTTTTACTCAAAAATCATTTGCACGAGTCATTAAGCATTGCTTCTTCCTTTCCATTTCTTCAGTTTTCAGTTTACAAATATATTCTCATCATTTGCAATAATAATGCAAGCGAACGGATTAAAGGTCGATTTAAATTACCCGTTCAGCCGCGAATCGCGAATCGATGCGGTTCAGAAAAACATTGTTGCGGGTTATTAAATGCGAATATTTATCACGATTCAGTTCTGACAGTCGCGCTTTAGAGAAATGCGGTCCAATATTCTCGGCAAGAATATTTCGATCGAATCGATACGCAACCGAAACGTGACTGAACGTACAACATTTTATTTCAGAATCTCAAACGCAAACGGATGGCTTTTAAACGATAACTAAGTCCGTCGCCCGTTGTTTCCGAACCGATGATATAAATGCTATATAGCTTTTGTCTGAAGCGTATCATTTGTAACGTCCCGTGTTCGAACTGATAATATAAATCGACTTTAAGAAGTATGCATTGATTACGTAGCATGAAACATTTAAAAAATTGCATTATTAGCAAATCGTATTAACATACTGCTCCGATGTACATAGATCTATTCTCGTATATTATTACAGATACTATAATTTGATTAGACGATTTTAAACACACGTATACTATAAATAAGTTTAAGATGTTTTATAGAAGAGAGAATTTTATAGTGCACTGATCTAATTTCAATGATCTCTTGATCAATTTTTTCCTATCTGTTATTCTTATCTGATTGTATTTCATGAATTGTACATATTGCATTAACATCGATATCACGGATAAATAACGACCTACTTGTTAATACTAAATATAGAACCTTTTTGGAACAGTATACCAAAGTGTATGAAATATGAATTGCAATGTACGTATGAATATAAATATTGTGTAAGAATCTTGTACCACTTGCACTACCGGTCCTGCTATGGCAATTAAACATAATGCCATGGACTTATTACCTGGTAACGAATTTTTATATTATATTTATATCTTTGAAACATTTGCACACACTCACGTACGTTTACATTCCCACACGTACGTATATTGCGTATCAATATGCAAATATTGAGAAAATAATTCAATTTCAACTTATCTGATAACAATTTAATTTTATCGTTTGCCCTTTTAGTTCCCTCTCGTCAGATTAATTAACTTGATAACATTTTTATAAA